CATCTTGAAATTTCAACATATTAACTTGACATTTCAACATAATATCTTGAAATTTCGACATAGTATCTTGAAATTTCAAGATTTTTTTACGCGATCATTAAGTTGAAATTTCAAATGAAATATCTTGAAATTTCAACTTATTAACTTTCAAGTATGACATGCGACAAATGGGCGAAATGTCGCGTTGTCGCGATGTCGCGTGTCCCGTTTTGGTTAATTTCGCCTCATTTTGCTTGTATTTGAGAGGGCGACAACGCGACAATTCGACAACACAACAATGTCCCTTCCAGGATTCCATAAATATCTCTTATCTGCAAGTTGTCAGTTTTATTTCCATCTACTTTCAGACTCTATTATGTTTCATGCATTGTCATTAAAATCGTATCTTGTTCTCGCTATAACTGAATACAGGTATGATAACATTTCACTACTTATCGGGGCGGTGCTTTTAACAGCCGCTTCCCCTTTTACTTCAGCTGGAATCTGTTCTGAGGGTAATAGGGACGGTGGGGTAGCCTAGTGGTTAAAGCGTTCGCTCCTCACGCCGAAGGCCCGGGTTCGATTCTCCACATGGGTACAATGTGTGAAGCCCATTTCTGGTGTCCCCAGCCGTGATATTGCTGGAATATTGCTAAAGGCGGAGTAAAACCATACTCACTCACTCACTACATATCACGTCCGAACGTCACTTGAGCGTCGTTATGAAGGAACGCTGATGACTGCGGCGTGAAACAACACTCACTCACCACAACAGCATACTAAAGCTCAATAGTCTCAAGTCGTCCGATGACATCGTTTGGACTTCTGGCATAATGATATGTCGTTTTGTATACATGGAGCAAACAGTGGTTGATAAATGCAAAGGGTCACAGCTCAATTCCCACAAAAATGTATAATATACTCTCCCAAAAAGAAACGCATATAGGAATTTCAACTGTATTTTTATGCTTATTTTGAAACATCTTGTAGGCTCTATGAGTCAATGAAATGTAGCGAAATTGCACACAGGGAATGCAGACTTATCCGTCTTTGGCACCAACTCGAGGAATGTCAGTTTGAGTGTCACATGGAGACGTGTGGTGGCCCTGAAGTCAATACCTCGTGTGACCACCGTGGGAATCCAGAACTGCACGGCATCGCCTCGGCATCGAACGAATAAGTCTCAGAATCTCGTGTTGCCCAATCGCAGCCCACTCTGCCTGTTGTGCCTGTGCGAGTTGCTGAAATGTTTGGGGCTGAGGGTTACGGCGTCGCACCCGTCTGTCCAGGGCATCCCACAGATGTTCGATCGGGTTTAAGTCCGGTGATCTTGAGGGCCAGGGGAGCACATTGATGTTGTGGTTCTGGAGGAAGTGTCTAGTGTGACGTGCTGTGTGGGGCCTGGCATTGTCCTGTTGAAACAACTCTCTCTGGCGATCAATGATTGGAAGGAGGTGTGGGCGTAGGATTTCGTCACAGTACCGTTGAGCTGTCAGGTTGCCCTGGATCATCACCAAATCACTTCTCCTACGGCAGGTGATCGCTCCCCACATCATAACACTATCGCGGCCGAATCTGTCCACCTGGAGAACGCAAGCGTCGGTGAAACGCTCACGTCGACGTCTGTACACCCGCATTCTTCCATCGCGTCGTTCCAATAGAAATCGTGATTCATCACTGAACCAGATTCTACGCCAATTCGGTAGGTTCCAGGCCTGAAACGTTGGTGCACCATTGAACTCGATGTCGACGATGTTGTTGTCGAAGCACAGGGCCAAAATAAGGTCTTCTGGCACGTAAACCAGCCTCTCTCAACCTGTTCCTGACGGTCTGTGCAGAAAGCCTCCTCAATCCGTGTATTTGTCGAGCGGTACTGGTCGCCGTAGCTGTTCGATGACGCAGGTGATGTACCCGGATGTAGCGATCCTGCGCCGCAGTGGTCGCTCGAGGTCGCCCACTACGAGGGGCATCTGCTACCGAATTCTGCCGGCGATATCTCTTCCAGAGCCGTGAAATGGTGCTTTGGTGAACATTCATGCGTCGGGCAACTGCACGTTGAGACTGGCCAGCTTCAAGCAAACCAATGGCCGGTTGGCTTCACTTAGACGTGGCATTTTGCGTTCGTCAACAATATTCCAAATACAGTGTATAATCGACAGACAGCGATCAACCTTTTATACCCATCATTGAGACTATCTGATCCCCAACTTTCACGTGCATTGCGTGTGAATTGTGTATTCTGTGACACTACACGCCGAAATTGAAAATCATGCTGTTAAATACGGGTATTTTATGGATGGTGCGTTTTGCTGTGTTGTTTCAAAACATAAACACCATAGGACTCATAAACAGAGCAAAACCTTTTGTAAAATGAATCACGTTTTAATTCATTGCTACATGAAATTGCTATTTTCATGATGCGTTTGTTTTTTGGGAGAGTATAGCTTAAACGGGAGCGATTCATACACAGATTCATTTCCATGACCATTCATGTTTGGGGATTCATGTCTGATGGATAAATGATACTGTATCTTTCCATGAAGAGACGCGATATTTTTGGTTAGACAAAATTACCATTCTATGTAGGGATGACAGCTGGTACGACAAAAGTATAATCTAACAGCCTAACATTTATAGAAAACTACTTATCAGACTAAATATATTAAAAGTAATGGTTATTTTTTCACCGAGATTACGTTACGGCTCTGTATATATGTCCAGTCAATATACACTGACTACATCACATTTGTGGGGTAGCCTAATGGTTAAAGCGTCCGCTCGTCACGCCGAAGGCCCGGGTTCGATTCCCCACATGAGTACCATGTGTAAAGCGTATTTCTGGTGTCCCCCGCCGTGATGTTGCTGGAATATTGCTAAATGCGACGTAAAACCACACTCACTCACATCACATTGATCGGTTCTGTGACTTCAAGCTGCCAGATATTGTTGAAATTCCTTCTTGTTGAACTCTTTATAGGAAGGAAAATGCTATATACATAAAAAATATGGTCCTCTTGTCTCATTACAAAATACTGATCTCATTTAAATTATTAATAGCCACTAAAAGTATAAAGCTTTCAGAAATAGTCCAAGCATTCCCACTGAGTGAGTGAGTTTAGTTTTACGTCGCTATTTGCAATATTCTAGCAACATCACGGCAGGGGACAGTCCAAGTATTGGCTTAGTTTAACAAGCACTAAGAGTGTAAGTGACCTGAATCGGGAACGGAGTAAATCCGACATAACATGTAACGTGGTCGTGAAGCGGCACTAGTTATGTAACTACTGACCTATTTTATTATGTAACAGATTTGTCAGTTCACCTCGTTCAAACCAAGATGTATATCTATCACAAACTCTCAAGTCCTCAACAAGGTCTCTCAGTCATTGGTTTTCCCTCCCAAATGTTTGATACGTAACTGACAGCATGATATAGCAATGCGGTGTAAAATAACATTCCACGCAGCTCGTATTGATATGGAATTTTGATATGAAACTTAAACTTCTTATCTTGTGGTTATGAAGGTCAAGGTCTTAAGTGGGTTATAAACATTCTTGTGGGATTGTGTCTTATCTGTCTGTGAATTCTCCTGCCGCTCGCATCATTGACACGTGTTCTAATGATCACGGTATGCTTGTAGAAAATAGACAGAAACCTTGCAGTCACCCGACCTCCTTCTCTGTCACCTCTGACATCCAATACACTCATTTCAATCGCATCTGTTACTAAATGTGGGAGGCCCGTGAAGATCCGGGGTAGAATAGGTCTTCAGCAACCCATGCTTGCCGTACAAGGCGACTATGCTTGTCGTAAGAGGCGACTAACGGGATCGGGTGGTCAGGCTCGCTGACTTGGTTGACACATGTCATCGGTTCCCAATTGCGCAGATCGATGCTCATGCTGTTGATCACTGGATTGTCTGGTCCAGACTCGATTATTTACAGACCGCCACCATATAGCTGGAATATTGCTGAGTGCGGCGTAAAACTAAACTCACTCACTCACTCACTAAATGTGGGACCACATACAGGTTAAATCGTTTCCCGCATGTTGAAGGTCAAGGTTCTACTCTTTACGTGGGCACAATCATTGTGTAACCCTGATCTTCACGGGTCTTGATAAAATGGACCTGTATTGGCAAATATTATGTAAAGATATCTTAACCCTGATACGACTTGAAAAGGCAGTCTCATGTTAAAAACTTACTCATTCACTTAATCAGTTCTATTTACTCGAGTTATCAAAGCATTCATATAATAATCAAAATACATAATGTCAATGCAAATGAATTACCAGTCTCGACTATCCTCAGAGTCAGTGGTTTTAAACCGCTTTTAGCAATATTCCAGCAATATCACGACAGCGGACACCAGAAATGGGCTTCACATATTGTACCTAAGTGGGGAATTGAATCCGGGTTTCGGCGTGACGAGCGAACGCTTTGGCCACTTAGCTACCCACCACCCCTCCTGACATACGTCTTATCAGTGAACTATTTCTCATGTTATTTTCTTTATTAGATTTTTAGTCTGAAGAAGTCTGTGTTCAGTCAACAACAATTTCCCTATTGACTATCAACAATTTGACATTTTATTGAGAAGAATGGTAAAAGATATATTTTTGTTTACTCTTCTTTTGTGTTTCTGCTATACATAGCATGAATCTTACCGAAATTTGTGACCTTGACCTAGTTCTTCGTTTTGTAAGTTGAGAATTAACAAGTTCATTTCCAGCCTCTGTATAATAGCTCCTTCACAAAGATACCCTCCGCATTGTGTCAAGGGTATGAAATTATTAAATATAAATATATATTTGTTTGACTCCTGATTCTCAAAGTCAACCACTACTGCACGTCCACGATTCAGGCTGCAGTCATTCACCAGCTTATCTACTACGATATAGTTCAAACATCGGTTTCTTCCCATGCCGATTAAATAACGTATTTACATTTGGTAAACTAGTTTCAACTGCTTGTATAAGACCAATATATATCTTGAAAACGGACTCATTCACCACGACAAAGCCGATCCAGCTGGAGGGTTGATCAGCAAGACAACTGGAACTCGCCTGGGAAGGTACATTCTTTACCTTTGTAACCAGCAAGCATTTCTTCTTCTTGAATCAATGTTCAAGTCATTGTGTGATGAGATTTTGTAAATGGAAACAGTAATTTCAATTGATAAGTGATACATAATGTTTGATCAGTGAGATATAATGTAATTCACCTCAACAGTATCTTAGCCATTTTGTGATTTAAAATGATAAGACTCGGGGCAGCAACCATTGGAGTTTTGCCGGTGTGTTTGTTTTTAAGATTAGCATATTAGCTTTTATTCTAATATATTTTCCTAAAGAATGTTAAGTATGTATGTAAAATTACTGAAGTAGGTCACGGTTATCAAAAGCAGCTGTAAATCAAAACTAGACATTTTAATTTACAAAACTTGCAGGAAATGTGACACGGGTAACTTTTCAAATTAACAGCTGTAAATTGTTAGCAGAAAACATCCCTCTTTTGTGCTCTCATCCCCATCATCTTATTGAATTGTTTTGGTGGGGTGGGGAGGACACGCGTTGGCCGAGTTGCAGCTGTTCGCTGTATGGATTTACGCACCCTTAGCACGTATGAAATCCTTGCCTGTGGGTTCGAATCCCGACTGCTCCCATCAAGTCGTCCCTATTCTCATGCCCGTGGGTTTCATCCAAGTGATAAATGTCTGAGACCTACATCCTTTCTGGACCAATGAAGATCCGGGTTAGAATTAGAACCCATGCTTGTCGTAAGAGGCAACTGACCCGAATCTGGTGGTCAGGCTCGCTGACTTGGTTGACACATGTCAACGCATGCTCGATGCTCATACTGTTGATCACTGGATTGTCTTGTCCAGACTCTTCCAGCTTTCGTCTCCCATACAGCTGGAATATTGCTGAGTGCGGCGTTAAAAACAAAAACAACCAGCCAACATCCAGACTCTTCCAGCTTTCCTCTCCCATTCAGTTAACATGTCGTGATATAATAATATTAAGTGTATTTATATAGCGCTGTATTCCATGCATCAGCATGCTCTAAGCGCACAGGAATAACACTAAATACAAAGTCTGGATGTACACAGTTCAGAGTTCAGGCACAGACTGCTTGTTGATATGACGATAATAAAGTGTGAATCGGCGTTAAAATAAAGTTACTGACATTTCATCAGTCTCGGCTATTAATATGGACAGGTTCCAAGGTCTCGTGGAAAAATTTTTTTTTTTTTTTTTTTCATGGTCAGTTTATCGCATATTTAAGGAAGAATGAAATATCTCATTTGTAGTGAGTGATTGAGTTGTAGTTTTACGCCGCTTTTAGCAATATACCAGCAATATCACGGCGAGGACACAAGAAATGGGCTTCAAACATTGTGCCCATGTGGGGAATCGAACCCGGGTCTTCGGCATGACGAGCGAACGCTTTAATCACTAGGCTACCCCACCGCCCCAAGATACAAATTATCTAAACTCAATCAGTAATAATGGAGGTAACAGTCAAGACATGCCCCAATGGTTGCTTTTTTGTTCAACGAATCAGTAAGGAATTAAGAGTGAGTGAGTGAGTGAGTTTAGTTTTACGCCGCACTCAGCAATATTCCAGCTATATGGTGGCGGTCTGTAAATAATCGAGTCTGGACCAGACAATCCAGAGATCAACAGCATGAGCATCGATCTGCGCAATTGGGAACCGATGACATGGGTCAACCAAGTCAGCGAAACTGACCACCCGATCCCGTTAGTCGCCTCTTACGACAAGATAGTCGCCTTTTTATGGCAAGCACATGGGTTGCTGAAGACCTATTCTACCCCGGATCTTCACGGGTCCTAAGGAATTAAGAGAAAAACACACAAATATTCTTATGGATATATTTGATTGTATTTGTCTCTGGGGAACATTTATGTTTGCGTCTCCAAAGTATTCAAACAATGAGAGTCCTCCGGGAGGATATATAATTCTTACAAGGAGATAAAGCTCTAGGTATGAACTAATTTCGTGCAAACTCTAGAATATTTGTAATCCATTGTGATAATGTTTAATGCGAACAGGTCAATCAACGTATACATAGTCAAGAATATATTGATAGGTTACCCTACTTGAATTTCACCTTTGAAACTCCGTATGTTGCAGATATCAAAAACATCTGTTCTATTACTCGAGGAAAAGCCATCCTCTGATACAGCGCCACAATGGAGGACCATTCAGAGCTACCAGTTGTAGATCTGAAGAAGGCTCGGGACAAGACACATAGACTACAAGTAGCTAGAGAGCTTGTTAGAGCTCTGGAGACAGTTGGTTTCCTTTACATCGATAACGCTCCAGGAGTAGATCTGGAGACACTTTTGAAAAACTGCGACACATTCTTTGCTCTTTCATCGGCAGAGAAACACATGATGGCTAAACACAAATGGAATCCACTGAATAAAAACAAGTACCGTGGCTATTTCCCTTTACAACCAGGTGAGTCATCGTACAAGGAAGGGTTTGAGATAGGAGTTGAGGACTGTCCATTCAATGATCCCGATATACATCCTATGTTCACTGAGCCTAATCTCTGGCCCCGCTACATGGATGGATTTGACGAGTTCCTGAGAGATATGCAACAGTACTACAAAGCTATCTTGAACACCGGGACAGAAATACTGCGATTGCTGGCTTTGGGATCAGGATTAGACGAGTATTGGTTTGAGTCGATGTTTCTTCCTGATACACTGTCAACTCTTCGTCTTCTTCACTACCCACTGCGGTCCTCCAACCCACCAGACACAGCAAAAGATGGTGACACTGTGCTCTGTTGTTCTGAACATTCTGATTCTGGCTTCGTGACCCTCTTGTCGACTTTCCACTATCGAGGGCTTCAGATACGCAACCAAAATGACAAATGGGTTGACGTGGAACCAAGGCCTAACTCTCTTGTCATGAACATAGGGGACATCTTATCCAAGACTAGTAATGGTCGTTTCAAGGCTACAAGACACAGGGTGGTTGAAACAAGTATGGACCGGTTCTCTGTGCCTTTCTTCTTTGAGCCGAGGTATGGTGCTGAGATTGGAGGTATGATTCCATTTGTACAAGACGTGGAGAAGAAACTGGCCGTAACATCCGCTGACATGTCGACGGTTGAACCAGGGACGAAATATGGACCCTGGCTCATTGGGAAGATGCAGCAGTTTCTCGAGTACCGACACATCCTTACATCGTTCCCTGTGACAACAGCTGCGTGAAACACTTCTGTATCTGATGTACTCATTGCTGCTAAATAGCTGCCATTTACATGTATGCATGACCAGGCGGTAATTTGATTGACGAATGTCAAGTGGTTTGTTCAACATGCCGATTATAGTTTTCTCGGTTTGTGCAATCTGGTTTTGATTCAAAAGAGGATCACTGTTTATGGATAAAGAAGTGGTTATGATTCAACGGTTGTGAGCAAAAAATGTCGAGAACTATTTAGGTGTGTTATTTTTCATTATGTAATACATATCTTTGTCAAGATTTAAATTATTGATAATGAATAAATCGTTTCTCGCGGAAGAAGTCAGCTCTATATGTTAATTGAAAATACATACATATCTGGTTTTGCAACTGTAGGTGAGTATCCAGTATACATATCCCAGACCCCTATGGAATCGTCGGTTTATGATATACAAGCTTACAGACCTACATCCGGTTTTAATTGAATCGTGTAATACCATCACAAGAACTGCCATTAGAAAATCTGTTTCCTTTCAAGCCCAAAGTTCTAAATCAAGATTTGCAGGGTTAAATATACAGTTAATTCAATTCCATCGTTTGGATATTGCTGGTTATGACGTTAAACAACACACACGCGCGCGCGCACACACATGGTAGTAACGGTTAAGAGAGTCATAAGAAAATCCACCTTTTAACAGTTGTCAAACTTCCAAAATAGGCTTAACCAGGCTGGATACCCAGGGTGAAAGCGGCTTGTTCGGATGTAATGTGAAATGCAGGAGGCATTCACTTACCCATTTATATAGTCTAAATACCTTCTAGAAAGTTCCATACAATGGTTCAGTGTTTATCTGTTACAGAATATTCAAGATTGCACTTGAGTCATAAAAAGGATAAAGATAAATTAACCTTTTATGCTCACATCATAATCCCTGATATGGTAAAATTGTAAAATTTCATTGACTCAAAACAAATAACAATATATTAGCTTCAGTATCACTGCTTTCATTCCACAGTCATCTATCCTTGACACCTAATTATTGTAAAATGACAATGTAAGGACCTTCTAATCAATCTTAACAGAAATAATACTCAACAATATATTACACTGCCATACAAAAGAGGGTACTACGATTTACTGAAAAGTCAATTTATTTTTAAAATTTCCTTTGTCACGGAACTGTGCTCCTATGATCCGGATTTCATTAGATAAGACTAAAGTAAGGAGTCGTGGTAAAAGTTCACCGTGATATTTTTCCTCACGTGAATCTTACGTATTTACTCTAGATTTAAGGTGACAAACCGATGCTTGGGACCCGATCCACAAAACGTTCGTAGCACTATGCCATTCGTAAGCTTGTGATAAGGTAAGGAGTTACGACTGGTCGTAACGTTACGAACGCTTTGTGGATTGGGGGACCTGATGAGATTGTAATAACGATACGATACAGCTGATCATGTATGGAATCCAGTCAGATAGGTGGCCTGCCAGGTCAACACACACTCACATGACTAACTGACTGACTTACTGACTGACTGAGTTTGGTTTTACGCCGCTTTTAGCAATATTCCAGCAACATCACGGCGGGGTACACCAGAAATGGGCTTCACACATTGTACCCATGTGGGGATTCGAACCCGGGTCTTCGGCGTGACGAGCCAACGCTTTAACCACTAGGCTACCCCACCGCCCCCCCTCACATGACAAGCTAATATGTGCTTGTCACCGCTCGTTGATCTAGATAACTAAAGACTAAACCCATCCATATTCATACACTATCTTGACCCTATTGAATTTACTAGTGGTCTGCAGTTCGGCTTGTTTCAGCGTTTTCTAACGTTTTGTTTTATTGATTGAAGATATACTGAGAACATTTATCACTACATAACGCAAAATGGGAATGATAGGTTAAGGTGTTCTAATAACTGTTTGCAGATATCGATCGATTTCCGAACTGATGTTCATATAATACAATGCAACCGTGTCTATTGAAGGTTCGCAGGAGTATTTTGTAGGTCGTCTCATAGTTCCTGATCTTATTCTTTACAGTGAGTGAGTATGGTTTTACGCCGCGTTTAGAATATTCCAGCAATACCATGGGGGACACAAGTGTGAGCTTCACACATTGTACCCATCTGTGGAATCGAACCCAGGTGTTCAGCGCGACGACGTACCCATTAGGCTACCCAACCGCCCCTATTCTTTAAAGCCCTTACCGTAATGCTATAGCCCTAGATGAAGAACGACCAGATTTTCCACAGGTTCGATTTCCCAAATTATTATATACACAGTGATCATATGATACCCGCCTCTCTCATGTTGTATGCTATGTGATGAATTGCAAAGCCAAGCGCTGACGCTGTCTGGTAAGTAGAATAATATATAGTGTTAGAATCATCATTGATAGTAATATGATACTTGCTCTCATTTCCTGTTATGCTTATGTCAACTCGTGTGGACATCGTGTGATGACCACACGTTACATACTAAACCAAAACAACTGCAGCCAGCTGTTGTCATGTCTTACAAATTAAATTACCATAATGTTACGTCGACCCACTGATGCCTTGAGAATATCGCACACACGCTTTCTCCCACACATTCTGTCACTGGTGGCACTGGCCAAGTCACGATAATTTGTAGACTGCTATGGTACCGTTTGAATACTGCTGAACATAGAGGTAAGGGACCTCTCATTAATTTTATATGATAATTTATATTTTTGTTTGGGCAAACACAAATGTCGTACTACTAATCTCCAATCTAGTATTTGTTTCTTGTAACCCCGTTCGGCCCATGATGCATTTACCGCGGTTAATTGTCTTGCTTGTCTGGCATCGTCATCTCCCCTGCTGGTACATTCTATTATGCGCAACATCCTTCTAAATACATCCGGTCATGCGCACTCCTGGTTTACATCCCACAATGCTCTCACTTCCTTCTTCCCCAAACGTCCGTCGTAAGCACAACACTCGCAAACGATATTCCAAACCCACCCTCCCACCTGTTATACAATTTAATTGGTTCCCCGTGTTCTCGTATTACCCAATATTTATTCTAAGATTATGGGTCCGCAGACCCACTTAAGCCGGAATCCGCAGGCTACAGGCAATATCCATACATATCCTTGCAAGTATCCTCCTTGTTACATTTTCATGTTTATGTCAATTTCCTTCATGCCATCATCTTCATAGTCCACTTAGTTTGTTGTACTTGGGGGTCCTCACACCCTTGGGACTTTCCTAAGTCCGCGAGGCCATGGTATACTCGTAACATATCAGAAGTACTTACATCTATTTTCCCTGTTATGTATGTCTTTCATTTTCATTCACTATTAGCATGTCCAATCCTAAATCCACAGCCTTCATGGGATCCTAGGTAACTTAGCTAATTACATTTTCATACATTATTAGCATTGCCATTCTGCGAATTCCTCTTCGTGGAGCTAGTTATATGGCATTTATTTTATTTCAGCATTAGCATTCCATTCTGGGGAATTATCCATTTCATAAGCTCATTTTCATGTAGATATTTTCTTCCTCCTACAATTTACTTTGTATTTCAACAGGGTCCGCGTAAGATTATGAGTCCCCCAGGGGTGCCAATCCCATGCTCAGTTTCATGTACGTCATTCATTTCCATTCATTATTAGCATTTCCAATCTTGAGTCCGCAGACTCTATGGGATGCTTGTAACATATCATATAACATATATTTACTTTCCACTTTCATGGATGTCATTCATTTTCATTCTGTATTAGCATGTCCTTTCTGTGAATTTATTCCTTTCATGGAGCTGATTGATATTGGCACTGGCCAAGTCACGATAATTTGTAGACTGCCATGATACCGCTTGAATACTGCTGAACATAGAGGTAAGGGACCTTTCATTAATTTAATATTATCTCTATGTACAAAACTCCTGACCCCCCTAGTACATGTGTACAAAACTGATGACCCTGCCTACCTCCCCAGATCAAAATGTGCCCCCTTAAAAAATTATCATCACCCTCGTCAATTCTTTAAAAAAAATACAAGTATGATTTTGAAATGTTGGAACAATGGCAATAATCTTAAAATCAATATGGACCAAAAACATTAATATCTTCATGCATAAAAACGTTGCAAAGCATTTTATGACATGTTCCCATATGGGAACATTGGCATGATAAAGGTTAAATTATAAACGGTGCGTAAACAGCATACATACTTAATGTAATCAGATTTCTGAAAGCAGGATCCACATGTTCGCTATATCGATGTTGTTTGCCGAATTCAACAAGGACTAGGCTTTCCTGTAGATATGGAGTTAGTAAAAATGGTCGATGTGACTTTGATCAGGTTGAAATCGACTATTCTATAAACCTAAAATGTATACAATAACTGTAAAAGAAGACAATTATGAAATAGAAATGTTAAGATTAGTCGTCAGAAGAAGGATCAGCTTTGAAAAATGAGTGCCATAGATGGAAGGGTATCAGTGGTTTACTGTAATTACACATGTTCCGTCATAATTGGGATAAACGTCAGCGTCACATTCACTCGCATGTAATGGTACTACTTCGCAGCAGCTGAACACAACAAAAGCAACAGCAGCTGTTGATGCTAAAATAGAAGCGACTACAGACTTAAGGTAGGCTAGTGACACCTATAGGAATCGTTCTTCGCCTCCATTACCCCAGCCAGCTTCCGGTTAAACGGAGTGAAGGAACAAGAATACACAGAAATTAAACACAAATATCATATTGCATAATTTTACCGTTAAACTGTTTGGGATAATTTTTCTTATCTGCCGTCGTTATTGTTAGAATTTTCGTAACACTTATTCTACAAAAAACACTTTTGGCGTAACGGGTAAATGAAATCATAATTAAAAAGTTAACTCCCCTGTTTCTTCACTCCGTTGAATCGGAAGCTTGCAGGGGTAATGGGGCCAAAAAACGATTTGACATGCCACGAGTGGCGCTTAAAATGTTGAATTAAATATATTGTACGTGAGTAATTATTAAATATGAGGTTGGAAATCTGAGAGCACAACTCTGTGAGGAAATGGGTGTCTACCTTTGATGATGGCGATATTTTATTTTGATATTAAAAATATTTTTCGAACGGAAGCGAGGGAAGCACGTTGCCAACCATTGCTCGCTTCGCTCGCATATGGGAAGACTGGTAATTTTCTCTTTGTTGCGCAACCCTATTTGTTAAGAACCCTATTTGTTAGTGGCGATTAGAAAAGGCATCATGATTCCAAGGTTGCGCTCACCTTTTCACACACACCTGCTATCATACGATTGTGGGGATTTAAAAACATACAACGTAACGTCACAACAAACCC